GACTTTCTCTTCCCTCAAAGAGAAACAATTGTGGGACTGTTCAGGGAAGAACAAAGAGGAGGGGACAAGTAAACATAATGATGGATGTGAATAGTATTGAAACAAATTGTGTCCTTTTATGAAGACCACATAACCAAAGCTAGTAAAATGTACTGAATATAAGGGGAGTATGAGGTATGGAAATGAGAGGACAATACAGTAGGATAATCCAATCAGGATACAGTATTTTCATGTGCAAGATGCCACAGTGAAATCAAATGTGGCTACAAAAGTGGAAATACATAGACTTAAAAGCTGTATTTTTCTGTTATGCTGTACAAATAACAGGATCGGTGCTGGAGGAATTGTTCAAGCAGTATAGTGCCTGCTTAACAAACATGAAGCCTTGAGTTAATATCCAAGTTTCACCAAAACCCCCCAAACCCCCCAAAAAAAGAAAAGAGCAGAGTCAAATAGATCACATACCTAAATATAAGAGCAAGAATGAGAAAGCCCAGTGCTAGGGTATGGCTCAAATTGTACAGCACCTGCCTAACAAACATGAGACCCTGAGTCACACCTCAGTATGACCCAAAAAGTAGTAGAAAACTCACTAACAAGAGCATAAGAATAAATGTTCATGATTGTAGTTTATACAATGCTTTCTATATGTAATCAGAAAGAACAAATGATAGAAGAAAAATCAAATAAACCACAAATTAAGTTTCTTTAGAATTCAGATATTTTGTGACATACATTACACTGTGAACAATCTAATTGTGACTCACTCCAGTAACTGCAGAAATGGGTAGGCAGAAAAAGGATGATCTGAGATTGATGTCACCCTAGGTTGTTTAAAGGCAACCTGAGGTTCAAAGGGAGATCCTACTTCAAATATGCACAATTATCTGGGCTCAAACTCCTGTTCCACCAAAAAACAGGGTCAAAATAGACCATATACCCAAATGTAAGATCAAGAACAAGAAAACTCAGGGCTAGAGGTATAGCTCAAGTTGTAGAGCACCTGCATAGCAACTGTGAGGCTCTGAATTCAAACCCAGTATAGCCCCAAAACAAAACAGTTTCTGGGCACAAGTGGTTCATGGCTCTAATCTAATTCTACCTAGTCAGGAGGCAAAGATCAGGAGTATCACATTTAGCATGAAAACTGAAGTGCAAAGAGAGGAGAATCTGAGATTGACATCTCCCTGTGGTGTTCAAAGCCAACTTGAGGTTTATAGGGAGACCCTGTCTCAAGTATGCATAATTATCTGGGTTCAATTCTTCCTATGCAAATAGATCAATCAACCCTGGAAACAAGGCTCAAGTGAGAAGGTGCTCTCCCAGGAAGCCTAAGCCTTGAGATCAAACACCAATACCACAAAAAGGGGATGAATTCAAGTATGATATATTTGATATATTTGAAGAACATTTGTAAATGCCACAGTGTACCACCCAGCACAAAAATTTTAAGAAAGTAAATCACTCCATTAAAAAATAACCCCCCCAAAATTCCTATTCAGTCGAAACTGAAACTAGGCACAAGAGGATTAAGCTTGTCAACTTAAATAGTAGGCAGAGATCAGAAGATCAAGGATCAAAGGCAGCCCAGGAAAATAGCTCTCAACACCCTATCTCACAAATTAACAACACAAAACCAGAGATGGCAGAGTGGCTCAAGTGTAGAGCACCAGCCCAGCAACCATGAGGCCCTGTGTTCAAACCACAGTATCATAAAAAAAATTGAAAATACATCCCAGAGATTAACGGGAAATACTTTAAAATTACTCGTTAGGTTGATAAGGGACTAATACTCAAGATATTTGAGAAATTCTTACCAACCAAAACAGAAAGAAATATATCCTAATAAAAAATGCTCAAGTGGTAGAGGACTTTCCTAGTCAGTTTGTGGCCTTGAATTTAAACTCCAGTACTGCAAAAAAACAAGGGGGGTGGTGAATGAATGTTCAGGGTGTCCTGCCTCAAGTGGTAGAGCTCCTGGCCTATAATGGTCAAGAAACTGAGAGACTATGCACCCCCAAAATAACCAAAACATTTAAAAAATTTTTAAAAAGGTGAATAATAGTGCAAAACAATGGATGAGGCCCCTTTGCATTCCTGACATACTTTTCAGTCTTAATCTCAGAAGACCAGGATAAACATGGCTGGTATCAGACAGAGTCTGTTGACCCTTTCTCCTTCTATAATTCCTCCACAGGAACACAGTAGAAACAAAGTTGCCAGGAGTAGCAGTGGTGACAGCCAAGTATAGGGATGTCTGTGTCTTCCCAAGGAACAGGCTATAAGACCTCCCACAGACTGGCCTGTCTCACCCCAGCCAGCTGAGTCTGAGTTCCCTGTGCCCTTTCCAAATGCAGCATTTCCTGCAGGGGGCAGGGTGGGAAGTGCCAGCAGGAGGGAAATGAGCCAACAGCCTGGACATTCCCTTGGGCTTTCTCTGTGGTGAGGACAGTGTGACCTGCCCCAGGAGGAGCACCTTTGTTAGCTCTCAAGTAACAGCAAGCCATCTTTGGGGAACCTCACAGAGGTTCCTTTAATGGCAGGTCCCATTTTATTCCTGACATACATACCTTTCAGGCTTGACCCTGAAAACCAGGGCAACCAATGCAAGAAGGCACAACACCATGGCATCACCCTGGCTTAGGGGATGCCTAAAAGCAGCTTTTACACATTTCACTATCCTACCCAACAGACATCAAAGTGAGGATTCTGATAGCAGTATCATAGCCAAGTAAACTGAACAAACAACTTCTGGGACCACACTTTATCCCAGACATGTGGAAGCTTTCCATAGCAAACAAATAAATAAGCAGGTTCACAGTATGTACAGTGAACACCGCATAGGACCACAGAAATACTGCTATTGCATTGAATCCTAAAAAACCCCTGCCTGCCACCATCCTGCTTCTCTCCCCTCCTTATATGCACGAAACTCTTCATTCCTCTGTTCCTGCCACTCCAGATACATAAGAGAACCAATTACCCACCCAGTCTCCCAACATACCATTCCCCATCATCCTGTCACCACCTCTTCCACTCTGGGACCATGGACCTGACGCACCTCCTCCACTCATCTCAGACACCTCTGCTTCAGCAAACTCCAAGGTCAGTCAGATCTGCCTATGCACACCCACACCACTATCACCCCAAACTACTCGAGAATCTCATCTTAAATCTATACACCACAACCACGTCATATCCCAGTGACGTGTAATGTACTCACCCTCAATCCCACTATGGTAATATTGGGGCAAATTGAGCATCTTCCCTCAAACTGCACCAGTTGCTCCACCTCCCCACATTCTGCCATCCACAACACGCAGTACTTCCTTCAAAGATGAAGAAAAAATGTCCACCACGAAAAGACCTGTGGTGACAGGATAGGATACACGGGGCACAAAGCTTCCAGGATAACAGGAAGCAGCAACATGGCTGTTTAACAAGCTTGAGGCCTTGAGACAATTCACAGTATCCACAAAAAAATTTTTTTAAATATGACTTGGGGTCAGAGAACGAACTTTGGCTGACTGACCTTGTTGTCTACATCATCTATGAGGCTGCAGCACCTCCACCTGACACCCCCTACACACACTGTGCTTTACTAAGCCAGTTTCACACAACTAGCTTCCCACTCTTGGCAAATATGCAGGGACATGACAACCCCTAAAAATGAAATGTCTGAGGATAAGAGCACCTGGACCACAAGCATTCAGACAACAGGTTGCTTGAGGGAGACACTTCAAAAGCCACTATTTGCTTGGCACAGGTGGCTAACACAAGTAATCCTAGCTACTAGGGGGCAGACATCAGGATGGTCATAGTTCTAGTTCCTCTTCCAAATGGTCTGTGGCTGACTGGTATAGAAGTGAGTTTTTGAGACACTCTGGAAAGACTCAGTCTTTAGCCATCTTTGCCCAGGGACTTGGGACAATAAGCAGCAGAAGATCTCAGCTCAGAGATGGGTCCACTCAATTGCATCGCTCATCCCTTTCTTTGAGAATAATTTCCCTTCTCATCTCCTCTTCTCTTTGGTCAGCGTCAACTAATATCCCGGCCACGACATCGTGGCCTCCCTGTGGATCACGCCCTATTTGGTCTCCCTGGAACTCTCAGTGTGGGCCTCCGTCCACCTCTGCACCTGCTGCTGCTCCTCACCACTGTGGTGGCTCAGGATCCTGGTCCCCGCCTTAGGTAGCTCGCGCTAGGTTGTGAGCTCTGCACTCTGCCTTCATCTCTGCAGCCGCAGACCTTTTGCTGTCATGGTGACACTGGACCTCAATGGACTTTTCGCACCTGGGACACAGTCCATGGCTGCTACAAATCCCATGCTTTACCTGCACTGCCACCACCAACACCGTCTTTCAAGATGGGTTCCTTTGTGTCCCTATTCCCTTGCTGTTGTCATTTCTCTAATGATGAAATGTAAAGGAACTGTGGCCTGGATCAAGTCCATGACAACACTAAGTCACAGTGAGGGTGGGAGTTCTTGCAGGGCTGGGCAACCTTGGCCTCCCTGTGTATCGCGGCCTCCCTGTGGATCACAACCTATTTGGCTGCACCATTACCCTTGTCATGGTCATCCTGGCCACCTCTGTCCCAGCTGCCGCTCCTCATTGCTGTGATCCATTCTTGGTCTTGGTCCCCGCCGGCAGCTCACACCCAGGACACAACCCATGGTTGTCCAAGCTCATTCTCTGCCTTCATCTCCATTCACTGCAGAAGACCACTTACTGTCCTGTTGGTCCTGGTCCCCATGGGACCCTCACGCCAGAGAGACTGAATCCTTGCTCCACCTTCACTGCCACCACTAACAACGTATTTTTCAAGAGCCTTGAGCACAGCAGAATTGGATGAACTTTGTTTCGTCAAAGATGCCACTCCTGGGCTGGGGATATAGCTCAATGGTTTAGTGTTTGCCTCACATGCATGAGGCCCTGAGTTCAATCCCCAGTACCAAAAAAAAATAATAAAAATAAAAATATAAAGATGCTACTCCTTACCTTTCTTACAAGCTGCAAGGCTCAGAGGGAGAGTCCAGCCCCCTCAATTTCTTCATGGGTCCTCTGAGTCTTCACTCTCACATGGTCCCTCCCACAGAGGCTCTCCTTGACTGCCTCACAAAATTTGCTCCTTGCTGCACATTTCCTTCGCCTTTCACTTATCCTTTGCTTTTGGCTTTTCCAACTTGACTCACTGAGTTGGTAAGTAGACTGGGGTCTTTTCATTGTTCTGGCTGTCTCCTGTTTGTGACATTGAACATTGGGCCCACTGAGCATCTGGACATGTTTGTTCATTTGAATTCCTTATTATATTTCTGACACAAAGCTCATCTTTACCCTGTAGGATTCTTGGTAACTTGACCAAGTCGAGTGGACTGAAAATACAAGGCAAAATAAAAATTTCTCCCCTTAACCTTTTGCAATGCTTTAAATAGAAGGATGGGAAGAGAAGGAGAGGGACAGGGACAGGGAAGGAAGGAGAGAGGTGGGGGGGGGGACAGAGGGAGGAGGAGAGAGAGAGATAGTTGAGGCAAACCTAACCAATGTACACTTTAAGCATATGAAAGTACCTGACATATACACATTGTGTCTGGAAATGTGACAGGTTCCTGCAGTCCCAGATCTATATTCAGGGAGGAGGAGCTCATGAGTCCAAAAGTTTGAAACTAGGATGGGAAACACAGAAAGATGCCATCTGAAAAATAAAAATACAGTTCAGGTCACTGATACTGACCAAAAGAATTACCACATATTGCTCACTTCAGACCATATGGTCAGTCTGTAGCAATGTATGTTATCTTTATTGACATGTACACTAAGATGTTTGCACAATGATGATTTTTTCAGGTAATAATGTTTCTCTCAAATGTCCCCGTCATTGAGTGACATGAGGTTGTAGTTACAACATGTCATTTGGGGGACATTACAATAAAACATCTATTGCCAAAGTAAAAAGACATCATTCAAATCTAGACTTGAGAAGGTGGGGTGTTCTACAGAATATGTGGCCTGAATGATTCAACCATAATATCTACTTGAAAGAGAAAGGAAGCCTGAGGTGACATTGTAAATTAAACATGAATTTTGTAAACTATATGGGAGCCCGATTGTATTTATAGTCTCAAATGAGCTGTTAGAAAACAAGGCTTTAAATAACATTCTAGCAGAAGGAGAAGGAAATGTATTATGAACTGTAGATGAAATAACTATACATGATTATTTCTGACTTAATTACTGTATCTAAATGTATATCCATGTTCTTAGTAGATTCCTCATTGGAATGGTGACCTCAAGCTCTTCTTAATTTGTTTCCTTTCAGAAACAAAATGTAACTAATGAACGTTTACAAAAAACAGGATAGAAAGGAGAGAATGAGTGGTATAAAGAAGAGCAGGAGAGGAAACAGAATGTGAAACTGGTAAAATAAGCCAGGCACTGGTGCTCATGCTTATAGTTCTTGCTATTTAGGAGGCAGAGATCAGGAGGATTGAGGTTCCCAGGCCAGCCTGAGACAAAACCAAGACCCTATCTTGAAAATCCTCAATTCAAAAGGGCTGGTGGAGTGGCTCAAGTGGTCAAGTAGTAGAGGAATGCTGAGGAAGTGTGAGAAACTGAGTTCAAATCCAGGTAAATAAAAGAAATTGGTAATCTATATATTGTACAAAAATATTAAAATTAGAAAACCTCTACACATGTACAAATTATATTTAGCATTATAGGCGTGAGCCACCAGTGCCTGGTTCCAAGAATTTTTCAAATAAATTCTCTATTAGGATATATTAGTTATACGGGGTGGGGGGGGATTCATAGAGACAATTCTGTTTTAGACTTATATATTGTACATTAGTTACATTGCTGCCATCATCTCTCTCTCTCAACCCTCTCCCACACCACTTAAAGCAATTGCAAGAGGTTTCTTATTTATATTTCATATAGGTATATGAAGTCCATTAACCACATATTATGACCTTAATCTCCTTGATTTACCCTCCTTCCTCCAACAAGTACCCCCCCCACACAGTACCTATATTACAATCTTGTTTTTGGTTATTAATATCTAAGTTGATATTCAAAGGGATTTCTCAATGTCCCCATTGTGGGTTTACTTTACTTCAGTCCCTCCTACTACATCCATTAATCTCCCTTACCCCTTTCCCTCCCATCCCCCACTTTTCAAAATCTTTCAATATACATCCTTATATCCTGTACCTTCACATCTTATGTTTTATTGTGTTACTTATTCTCTATCATTCTCTTTTCCTTTCCGTTTTTCCCTGAGTCCATACAGTAGTTCCACTATTGCAAAAATTCTGGGTTCCAGGCAATAAACATGGAAATTCTGGAAATCAATACAGTGAAATATATAAAGAAGACAGCATTGTGAAGGCTTAACTTCATATTCAATACCTGCCTCTTCCAATCTGAGCCTGGATTTTCAGCCTCTTTTGTTTCTAGTGATGCTGAAAATTAAACATGGGCTTTATAGATGCTAAAAATCCTCCCTACCTTGGAGCTACATACCAATCCCATTAGCCTTTTCATATGAAATTTCATCATGTGTAGCACAGAATTTTACCTGGAAAAGCAGAACAGTAAATGATACAGTAAGTACTCAATAGATGCTAACTGAGACTGGACAAATTTACATTCTCAGCTAAATTCTAATATTTCATCAAAAATATTAGGCTACCCTAATAACAGGCCTACTTTTGTTTGTTTTTATTTGTTTGTTTGGGGTTTTTGGCAGTAGTGAGGTTTGACTCAAACCCTTGAGCTTGCTAGAGAAGCATTCTACCAGCACATCCATTCTCTGGCCCATTTTTATTTGTGAACAGAGCAACTATATACAGTAAGCCAAGAAGTACCAAAAAGAATGGCTCTGCAAGGGTGTGGCATCCTCTTTTTAGCAACAGCCCTATGACTGGCGGATACAAGAAAAGAAGCAGTTCCTGTATGTTAGTTATGAGATACAAGGCTGAACGTGGGTTTATTTACCAACATGTAGATGCAAGCTTCCCATGACATTTAGCTCCACTCTCAGAGTGAACCTCTTCACCCACTGCATGATAAGGAGAAACTGAAGCTGCTTATTGTCTGCACATAATCTCCATACTTAGATTTCTGTATCATCACCCACTCTATGACCAGGAACACAAGGTGCGCTCTAAGTTAATAAAGGAAGATCCTTTCTGAATGCTCACTGGCGACATTCTGGGGCTATCTGCAGGACACATCTGGAAGGAATTCCTCAAGGATCCCATGGCTTTCTCACAATAAACACATGCACCTGCATCCTCAAAAATTCTGTGAAGGAGACTCTTGCAGATACTGCTCCCCTGTTTAAAGTCAATCTTTTTAAACATGACTATCTCTAACGTCTTCACAAAGCTGAAGTTCACTTTCAGTTGCATGGGCTCTTTGGTAGTTTTGGTCCTGTAGAAAGGAAACAATTCAAAAGAAAGTTGAGTTACTAGAATTTGTTAGGTGTCTTTATATCTATGCAACTTCCAGACTTTTATCTCTTCCAAGAAAAACATGAAATGTCAAAGACACATCATTATGAAGTTCTGAGATAGGAGGGGAGATCAAATCCTTGACAACATGTACAGGGACCATAACTGATGAATTCCTCAAGAAAAAAACCTTAATCTGCAGCTGACTTAGACACAACTAGAAACCATTACCTTTCTGAATGATCCCCTAGGTGATATTTAATTTTGGCACTTGAAATTTGGGAGGGAATCTAGCCTAGTGATTCCTAAAATACAATGACCTTAATGATTACCGTGTTTTCTGTTTCAATAGATAGGGTGTTTGAACTTATGTTTTATCTCTGTATCTGATTTCCCATCTGCTCTCAGTAATTGAGGGCACGTGCGATTTAATACACTCTACATATTCAAACTGGGATTTGCTCTGCTATCTCCTCATATCCTATATAGTTCTGTGATTTTTCTCATGCTGTGTTATCTAACTCTAATGCCATTTGGGGAGTATTTCCTCTGTCAGTATCTTTCTTACACCAACACAAGCACTAGATAGAAATGCAAATTAAAGGACCCCAAATAGAATTTTAAATGCAGGTAGAAGTTTGTGCTCAGTGTATTAAGAAGCCCCCAGGTGATGCAAATGTACACTCAAGAGGAGAACCATTGCCTTTGACAAAGGGATATAAGTAAGTCAAACGCAACCACTGGAGAAAAATATACAAAAATACAGAAATAATTACACCCAGGTATTAAGTTTTAAATAAAATTATAATGGAAGTGGCCAAATGTAAATGTTTTTATGTTTAAGGAAAAGTTTTAAAATCGCCTATATCAAAAGAGGAGGTAGACTAAACAAAGTGTTTACAGCTGAGGGTGAAGATGAATAGGATAGAGATGTGTACCATTCCTACTTACATGAGATAAAGTACAGAGAAACATAAAATAGGTTATTCAAATTCAAAAAGTGATGAAAAATGTGCTTTGTGCTTCTTAGAAAGGGGAGACAGGTGTAGATGGAGGAGAGGCAACATTTTATACTTGAGTTTTAAGCTTTGTTTATACTACAGTGCTGCACTACCTGCCGAGCAAGCACAAGCTCTGGATTCCATCCGCAGAACCACACAAACAACCAGCACCACAGAAATTCAAATTCCTTAATCCAACAAAATTCTTTGCATAGTAAAACTTTCTTCAGTCTGCATATCTTTCTTCAAGGACATCCCATGCACTTTCTTATAAAATCCAGCTGCATTAGCTGCCTGCTCTGTTTACAAAAATTACCACACTCTAGATATTTGATTAGTTTTCTCCTCTTTTGCATTCTCCAGGTGATGTACTTACTGTGATCCCCTCCCCAGCCCAAATCCTCCCTTACTGCTTAATAATATTTCATCCACATGCCCCCTTCTAAAGGTTGAAATCTATAAATAACCACTTGCCTATGCTATGTTCTACATTTAGTTTGATATCTTTCCCACCCAGGAAGACTGTTGTTTTAGTGGTCCCTTTAAATACACAGATGATTTCCTTAATCATCATTTAAGGAATGTAAAGCCGTGAGATTCAACCCCAGTCCCACCAACCAACCAACCAACCAACCAAAAGAAACACACACAAGAACCCAAACAAACCCCCAATAAACAGATTCTGCTGATACATTATTCAAGATCCATATGACGCTTTGACATAAACTGTGTAGCAGTGTGACACATAGGTTCTAAACAGCCCATATTTCTGGCCTATTTTATTATAGATATTTTGTAGAATAAAGACAGAATGGTAAAATCAAAAGCAAACTCCACACAAAGACACAAACCACAAATCAAAAACACTCTTGAAGTTACATGTGTTAGCCAGATTCAAAGGAAGAAAAATATTAATAAAGAAGCTGTATATTTAAAAATCTAATATCCACAGTATGCTGTTAAAATTTTAGATGTTAATTTGTTTGCAAAATCAAGTGATAAAATAAAACCAAAAGGAAAAATACTAAACTTTACTCTCTGTGAACATCTAAACTGAAACCCCCAAGATGCCTGGAGTCAGCTAAGGAGCCTCCCACCTGCAGACTCCAGCAGTTTAGGCCCCAGCTGGCTGCTGTCATCACTGCAATTCACCTTTAGGAAGCACAAGCTGTGATGAATGATGAAGCACTTCCTGCAGGCTGCTCAGTATTGAGGTCATAATTTTACCTGC